TCCTTAATATTTCTTGCTTACTAGGTCCTCATGTTCCCTACGACACTGTTTGATGCCATTCGACATGAAATGACTTGGTCGAGCAGTCTCACGTGAGATATATTGCATTTTCGTCATGATGAAAATGACCCAATCAGATGAGAATTCACCTTTGTAATGTTCTGTTTTGAGATGCAAAATTAACTCCCTGAACGTAGCCGTTTGCCGCGTTCAGTAGAACATTTATTTTACAACTATCGGGAAGTTTTCTGTGCTGAAATTGAATTATGCCTCTAGATCTGAAAGAATAATCCAATCTCAGCTGGGAAAACCCTCCAGCACTTGCAAAATAAACATTTTGCTGAACGTGGTCATTAATGACCACACTTCACACACTTTCCGCATCTTCTCCGAGAAGAAGCCCCCTCTCTCACGAGTGAAAATATTATCAAACGCAGAGTAGCGTGAGTAGCACGTCACCGGCAGCATGACTACGAGGTCGAAGGAGAAGGTCGTGGCGGCCTTCCGCAAGCTCTTCCGGTCTTCCGACAAGATCACGGAGCAGGAGGGGGCCAGCGGTTCAACTGGCTCGCCGTCGAGGAGGCTTCTGAGTCGTCACCATCGCCCGGATGCCGTTACCCCGGCTGCCAGCTCGATGCCGGAGAACTCAGGTTCCAGTCGCGCCGATCACGGCAGTTGCTTCTTCAAGTCGAAGAAGTCGTCCGGCACTTCCGGTCAGGTACATAGACTGTAATTTTTCCCTAGGTGTGAAATGTGAAAAGTGAAAATTCGAAATATTTCAAATTAGAATTTACATTTTTCCCGAATTCACGCCAGAGATTTATTATTCTCTGGTGATTGATTATCTTCTTCTGTAACATGAAACGTGTAAATTTTCTAATTAAAACATTTAATATGAAATAAATCTAAAATAAAACATTTAGAATTTTCACATTTCCGTCCTAGGGGAAAAATTACACGATCGATAGCCTGATGGTTCCACGATTCCCGCGGAAAAAATCATCAGAGAGTTGCTATGCGATGAGTTCACCGGATCAATGAAATCTAATCTCGTCGATTCTTTTGTTTCTTTTTTCACCTCGCCCGACAGATAAGCTGAAAGTCTCTGTTCTCGCGGCTACGTTCGATTTTCGTAGTCGTTTACACATTCTCACGTGTGATTTTCCTGCACAGACCATGAGCATGGCCGAGAAAGGTCTGCGCCGGCTGATGAAGGAACTCAGCGAGATCCAGAGGATGCAACATCACCGCGACTCGACCTTCACCGCGGAGCTGGTGAACGACAACCTGTTCGAGTGGCATGTGCGGTTGCATAAGATCGACCCGGAGAGCGAACTGGCGGCCGACATGCGGGAGCTGGATATACCCCATATACTGCTGCACGTCATCTTCCCGGAGAACTTCCCGTTCGCGCCACCTTTCATGAGGGTGATCTCGCCGAGGATCGAGAAAGGCTTCGTGATGGAGGGCGGCGCGATCTGCATGGAGCTCCTGACGCCGAGGGGATGGGCCAGCGCGTATACCGTCGAGGCGGTGATCACGCAGTTCGCCGCGAGCATCGTGAAGGGACGGGTGAGCGTTGATCTTTGTCCCATCGAGACCTTATCTTTTCGAGACATTTTCAGTCAACGTGATGCGTTGCGCCATTTCTGCAGGCCCGAATAGATTTTTCAACTGATATCTTCAAATCTGAAAGTAGCAAACATGCGTTGCAATGAATTCGATCACCTGCACTACACTGGATTGGCGTATACTGGGTGGCTGCTATACACACAGATGAAAAAGTTGCTTTGGATTTAGCATACGTTTAACTTGGGTTTTTTAAATATAAATTTTGTAAATATAAATAACATAATTTAATATCGAGTATTTTGCTTGAATAAATATATTATTGTTTCACTAGAGTAAAACATGTTATTGATAGGAAAAACAGTATTATTTAGAAGAAATATTTCGTTTCAAAAAATTTATTATATATTAAATATTGTTTCTCTGAAACAAACAAGTGTTTTAATATTTTTTCTAACATAATATTTATTTGTTTCAAATAATTTATTATTTATTGCTTGTGACAAAAGAAATGTACAAAAGAAATATGTATTTGACATAAAGATTTATTGTTTAAGAAACCAAACAATTCTGTTTGTTGAATTAAATATTCGTTTTTCTATTCCAAAAGATAAATTTGTTTCAATTATAGAAATTTTGTTAAAAATCCAAAGAAATCTTTTTCTTTATGCATAAAGCAAATGTTTCTTCGATGTAGTGATAACTACTAATAGATAACTATTAATAGATAAGTACTATCGATAAATTAGTACAAAATTAGGACAAATATTGATCTCTCGGAGATCTCTAGATATGTATCAATAATCTTTCCGTAAAACTATCTCGAGTGAGATGCTCAGATCTGATATTAGAGTTAGATGTAAATTTTTCGGTGGAGTCACTATTGTGCAAATATAATGTCAAATGTATCGTATGATTCAATATTGTAAAATTCAAATCTAACTTTGAATTAAAACCCTGGTATGACACATGAAACAAGTGACAACTATTAATATGGACTTTAGATCAATAGGTCCGAATTTCACCGAGTTACATCACAATTACAAATGTAACATCGCGTGTATCGTAAGATATGACGTATAAGATTTGACGAAAAAACTCAGATCAAACTAGAAATTTTCAAATCTGAATATTTCATTTGAGGCGAGATTTCAAGAAACGATTAATATGGACCTCAGATTCTCATACGAAGTCTGTCACCTCGACAGGGACGAGTGGCGAGAAAACCGAAGTCGAACAAAGAGTTCACTCAGCGGTCGGCCGAGGAGTCGTTCAAGAGCGTGGTGAAGACGCACGAGAAGTACGGCTGGGTGACCCCACCTCTCGCCGAAGGCTGATCGGAGAGTGTTTCTTTGTCGAGAGCCAGAAAAGGCTCGCATCTCTCGCTTGAGGAACTGCGGCCGAAGTGATTCTTTCTTCCGACTTTAACGGCGGTAGTGGTGACGGAGACGCCGACAGTGATTTCTTTATCCCTGAGGGAGCTCGAGGTGTAATTTTAATTGTTACATAATCGCAAGTAAGAGGTATGTGCAACTAGGTGCAGTCAAGAGCGCCGGATTCCAACGCGTCGCACGGACGACGCGCGTGCACGTGTTTCTCCCGTTTTTTTCGTCATTTTTCGCACATTTTTCAATACCTTTTATAATGCAATACTACCATGCCAAATTAGTTGTTAAGACAAGCGCGACAAGGCTTCTGCGTTGAGACAACGGTTTAACGCAACGGCTTCTGCGTTGTGATCGCGTGCACAGTCGGCGTCATATACACCGTCTATGTGTGTAGTCACTTACGAAAAGGTCTCAACACTTTTTCTTGATAAGTTTCGTAACGTATCCCGTATAGGAGAACTTTTAATAACTCTCAGGAGGTACATTTTTCCATTGAATATTTTCTATACGAGATAAGTTGTGAAGTTCGATGAAAAAAAGGTTACACCTTTTTGTGACTGACCATACCATTTCTTAGATCGACGATTACGCAATTTTCAGTCTTACATATGTACAAACAAGGTTAAAGCCGTCATAATTAAAAAGCTAGTATAACCCTGTCATTATAATTAGAGTTACTTTTGCGATTTTCGACCTTATGGGTTATGTGGAAGGCTGAAAATCGTGGAATTTCTCGTCGTCAAGGAATGATAGAAGTGTATATGACACCGATCGTATGCACGATTACCTTTATGCGCAGCTTCTCCGATCGACAATGGTTCGCAAGAGAGGTTCCATCCGTTGTACATCGGAAGCTCATAACGGAGTACTTCGTTTCGGTAGCTTTGAAAAATAAAAAATAAAACCGATACATGTAAGAAGGAAATGAGAGAGGAAAAAGAAAATGAAAAGGTTGCTCAATAGCGTTTACGATTAATCGTTTACGTACACGTATAATTGAAGGACCGATCAGGTATGTGTAAATATGAAACAACGAAAACGATACACGGTAGAATAGCACCTTCCTGTTCTCTCCGTGAAGCCTTCAGTTCCGATTGCAGCGTCGTTATTCGCGAGGGAAGAATATCCGCGTGAGAATTCTTCCGCGGAAACGGAAGTTTCGATTATGAGCTTCTGCGGATACTTCAAGCCCTTTCTTCTTCCCCGTTCCTCCCTTTTTGAGACCTGACAATACTAAATGCGTTACGTACTTACGAACGGCTTCAATATGTTTCTCGATCGATTAATCGCAGAAGTGTTTGTATAATCGCAACGTTGAACATATACACTCGGACGTGCCAAATAAACCGAAACTAGTTCGCAATATATTGACGTTTCTTCGCAAAATTTTACACCGACGCGCGATCGTCGCCGAACGATCGGGCGTCTCACGACTAGTTCGAAAATTGATTTACGGTGTGTGTATCACGAGACTAGATTAACTATAAGAGGTCCGATTGGTTCATCCGAACGTACGACTCCAGTGCGGTGCCGAGAAGTAATAATATTTGTACAAGATTTTCAAATGAAGGTACGACAGAAGTTAAATACAAATAAATTATTTACAAATATATGTGGAACCGGCATTAGTCTTTTTCGACGCATGTTAACAGTACTTTTGGCCTATTTACCATTTACTTGTAGAAGTTCGAAGACACACATACATACATACACACGGTGTGCACATATATATATATATATATATATATATATTCCAACAATCGGATCACACGCTGCGTATATAGAACTTTAGGGAAGACGAACTGAGAGGGAAATACAGTACGAAAGAAAGAGCGACAAGCTTATCTCCGTTAACGATTTACAAACTAATCGCAAGTTATTATATTTAGGAATAATTTTCAACACCGTTTTATCAAGTCTGTTTGAATAAAGTTATTATCGAAAAATTCATTATTATGTCTGTACAGAGTCCCTCAAAACGCTAGACTCCTACTCGGAATATTCACCGTGATCGGAAATCGCTTAACCGTCACTTATGTTTGTACAATTCCCCGATATCACTTTGCGGGAAACGCGATCTGCTTGCTCGCATACAAGGCACACAACAGTCAGTCGCACAATTCACGAATGTATTCTGTTCCCGCGATTCTTCGTTGATGCTTGAGCAGTTATTAGGATTACGTCTAACACGTTACAGCCTGTGCGAATGGATATCACTATCAGCACGATAAGAAGAGGCTCACGCTAGCAATGCGCACATTGTGCTTCCTTTTCTAACTACTAGTACTTCCTTCACGATTTTCACTCCTGAGACGAAATAATCCAATATCCATGTTACAATGATCGGTGAACCGTGAACATTATCACGTGTACACAACATGGGTCCCTCGAAAAAGAATATCTAAAAAAAAATTGGCCTTTCTATTCAAAGATATAAAAACCTCTTTAAGGCTCTTCTCAGAGCTGGAGTGGATTCCTTTGTACGAACTCTTAAAATATATATTATACGTTCGCGCGTAATGTATAAAATTCACGCTATTCTCTACCCTATGTACAATTCGGTATTCGAAGCCGATATAATTCAGCAGAGTTTGCACTTGGATACACGATTATCGTTCTTACGTTCAGTTGGAAACGAACCTATCGAAATAGCGTCTATTCCAATTCTCGATAAAATTTCACGATCTTGCTAAATCGGTATCATTATGACTGGTATTATTATGCTTGATATTACTATATATCCACGGTCGCACGCTTACACGTTGCATCGGCACAGGCACAGCAAAGATACATGTATAAGCGCGGATTACGCATCGAAAGTTTCGCGCTAAATATCTCCGAAAGTCGAATGCGTCCGGCAGTATCAATAATTGGCACTCAAAGTTACGCTAAAACTAACTAGTTTACCGCGTACAGGCACAAAATGGTAAGCAATAAATAACTGCGAGCTCGATATGCCACGAATGCACGTATAAAAATTCCCCCTCGACGGGGACTGGTGTTCTCATAGCACCATATTTTTAATACTTAGTAAAATTACCGTCGTAATTGACACTCCAATCACTCTCAAGATGAAATTTAACTAAAATAATATTGCACTTGACACCACCACAGTGCACGCAATTCGTTCGCAATAATCGCCGCAGAGTCTCCCGCACTCACTCGGTCTTGTCCTCTTGCACGCACATGAACAGCCTGGCGCACAAAATATTGAATTTACCTGCAAAACGTGACAGCATTAATTATATCAAGTACAAATTAAATTTAAATTAAGTTTTAAAATTAAACCGTTAAGTTTTACAATGAATCATATAAATTAAATTTTCAAATTAAAATAAATCTAAATTAAATTTAAGGATGTATTGCCCATTAGTGCCGTATTTTCAGTTCAAGGAGGCCACTCATAAATTTACTATTTATCAAGCAAAATTATGTTCCTTACGCATATATTTATTTCACCACCTAAATAATATATGTTAATTTGAAACAACGTTGAGGTAGATATGTATACATATATGTATATATATATA